ATCTATGCCCAGAATTGTGACAGCATCACTCCCATAGACACTACTCCTCCGTTTTACTTAGTTGCCCCACAAGGCACCTGATTTGCCTGTAATACTGGTCTAACCCCCTATATCAGCTCCAACTACTGGTGTCAGGGGACATATGCCTTCTGTGTACTAGTTCACATTATCCCTCAAGTGTATTTCTACTCCAGGGAAGGGGGCCGTGAACATTTCCAGTACATAGACCATCACATTGCAAAGAGGGCGCCTATCCTAATACCTGCACTAGTAGGCCTAGATGTGGCAGGATCAACTGCTGTTGGAGTGGCAGCCTTAGTAACAGGAGATTCTAACTACCGGACCCTGAGTCAACAAGTAGATAAGGACTTGCAAGACTTAGAGACATCAGTTTCTCACCTAGAGACCTCCGGGAACTCCCTAGCAGAGGTAGTCTTACAGAATAGGAGAGGACTGGATCTCCTCTTCCTGAAACAGGGAGGTCTCTGCATGGCTCTGGGTGAAACCTGCTGTTTCTATGCTAATCATTCAGGTATTATTAGAGATAGTTTAGCCCTGGTTAGACAAAGACTCTGTGACAGAGAAGAACAATGTCAGCGGACAGGGTCTTGGTGTGAGAACCTGTTCAACGGATCTCCTTGATTAACTGCACTGCTTACCTCCATCACAGGACCCCTAATGCTGGTATTTCAGGAGTTGCTATTTGGCCCCTGTGTAATTAATTGGATAACTGTCTATGTCAGAAAGTGGGTCTAGGCAGTAAAACTCATGGTCCTCAGAACAAATTATCAACCACTCCAAGTCAAAGAATCAATGATTTGATTTCCCTTCGAAAACCAGTGGGGAATGTAAAAGTAGAAATTCTCCAGTTTCAGGGAGGTGGTATCTCCAGGCACCAGCCCCCAGGGAGAAGCACAACATTCCAAGGTGCAGATGATAAAACTGTCTACTAGGCCCTGTTTGATCTGAGATGCCCCCCCCACCCCCATACATTTATCTTTGTACAAAAAGTTACGTGTGTGTGTGTGTGTGTGTGTCTCTGTCTCTTGCACTGTCCATCTCACTCTCTGCCTCTGAGAGAACACACTCTGTATGTGGAATGTTACCTCTTTTCTAATAAACTTTCCTTTGACTCTAACTTTTATGTATATTGAATTCTTTCTTCACTCTCCGCCAAAGGACTTCTTCTCTTGGTGCAAGGCTAGGTCTCCCCATCAACTAGAGGAAATTTACCCTGTCCTCCAACAGTTGAATGAAAGAGAAACTAAGTGTACCTAAAATTGATGAGTGTGAGAGAGATGAGATCAAAATTATGTGTGACTTTGTGAGATGGTGGGCATGTGTGGTTGGAGTAATTGTGTGTGTATGTGAGTAGCGGAGCAAGATTGTGTATGTATCTGCATATATGTACACGAGTATGTGTCTGATCACCTGAATGCATGTCACTACATGGGTAGCTGAGATTATGGAAAAATCTGAATACTCCAAGCCTCATTTCCTCTTCAAATTGCTCTAATAAGAGTATGTCTTCCTTCTAGCACTTTCATAAAAATACTTAAGATTCCCAATATTTGTTCTGGAATAGAATACCAAATCAATATGACTTTTAAAACAAAATGTTTAAAGACATGGGTATCTGTTTTGGGTTATATCCACAAACTTTCCCAGACATTTTCCTTTCTCTGTTCTTTGGGAGACACTGGTGGGGCAAATATTTAGAGACATGACTGTTCAATTCAATCAGGAGCATCAGTCACAATTAAAATAAATTCAGGAGGAAGCTGCTAGATTAGAAATTATTGCTGTTTTCCTCCTAGCTCTCTTTTCTGCCAGTTTTGTTTTAATTTCATAATTGTTTTTAAAGGAATCATCTCATTGATTTAAAAAATGTAAATAAGGTTATAGTGAAAAAAGTATTCTTTTCATTATTTCTCTTCACCTCCTTCTGTGATTAGTTTCTTATGTAAACTACTTTGAGTTTTTCTACAATTATACCAACATATCTGTGTTATATAGCCCCTCAACTTTATTTCTCACAAATGTTAGTATACTATAAAGCACCCTGTTTTTCACTCACCATTCTGTCTTAGAAGACAGTCCATATTGTTCTTTCTTATGGTAGGATAGTATTTTGTGGTAACAGAAATGTCATACTTTAACTAATACCATATTATTGAATATTTAAGATGTTTTCAGGTTTATGCAATTATGGAATGAATATCCTTGTATATTCAGCTTTGCAAAGATGGTGAATGTACATCTTTGTAATAAATTCCACTAAGAAGTGTTGGGTCAGAGGTTATGCATAAATATTGCAATCCAGAGAAGATGAATCGCTTTCCATTACCACCCAAAAAATTATGAAAGTGACTATATCCTGTTCCTGTCAAACACTATATTTCTTCATACAGCAGATATTTATTGAGGCCTTTATTTGTGCCAGGTGTTGTTCTAGGCACTAAGAAAGCATCATTGAACAAAACAACCAAAATTTCCTGTCTTAAAGGAGTTTACATTCTAGTAGGTGAAAGTGGCCAATGGACACATAAATATACTATTTCAGATAAAGGTAAGATCTGTAGAAAAAAATAAAGCTTGGAAATGGGATAGTGAGTGTCAAGGGAGTTGCAATTTTAGTAGGTTGTTTTAAGAAAAGCCTTACTAAGAAGAAATTTGAGCACAAACAAAAGGAAGAAGCAGTGACATTTGAAGATATTTAGATAAAGAGCATTATAAGCAGAGAAAAAAGCAAAACATAAATGTCATGGGTTGGTACAAGCCTAGTGTATTCAAGGAGCAGTAGACCAGTGTGACAACGTGGAAAGCAGTAGATGAGGTGAAAGAGCTAATGAGAGGACAGAGTATAGAAGTCCTTGGAGAGACTTGTAAGAAGTTTGGCTATTATTCTCAGTGAGATGGGAAAGCAATAGTGGGTTTTGAACAGCGAGGTGACATGATATGACTTACATTTAAAAGAGATTACTTGGGGTGCTGAGTAGAGAGTAAGGTATAGGGAGACAAAGAAGGAAGCAGGAAATGAGTTTATGGGCTGTTAGAATAATTCAGATTAGAGATATTGGTGACTCAGTCTAGGGTGATAGCAGTGGTAGTGATGAGAAGTAGTTGGATTCTAGATATATTTTGAAGATAGAGCTGAAAGGATCAGGTAATAGATTTGATGTGGAAAATGAGAGAAAGAGGAACTTAGGCTGACCCAACTGCAAGACCAGGATCGTCATTTACTAAGATCAAACTATGGAATGAGCAAGTTTTAGGAGGTAGATCAAGGTCTTTGCTCTGCTAAACCACTGAGATACTCCATGCTAAAGAGAAACATTTGTGTGTTGTCAGCATCTAGACGTAATTTATAGTAACAAGACAGGTTGAGAATTCTAAGGAAATCTACTAAGGATTAAGACTAAACAAAATAACAAGTTGTAGTGGGTTGAATAATGACAATCCAGAGATATGTCTATGTCCAAACCCCCAAGATCTATAAATGAGAACTTACTTGGAAAAAGGGTCTTTGTAGATGTAATTAAGTTATGGATCTCTAGATAAGATCATCCTGGATTATCTGGGTGTTTCCTAAATCCAATGACAATTGTCCTTATAATAGAAGATGAGAAGACATAGAATAGATGAAGGCCATGTGAAGACACAGGCAGAGATTGAAGTTATGCACCTGAGTCTGGTTCTGATTGTTGCTTTGTGTCTTGAGAGTGTTTTGATTTTACCTGCTTTTTCATATGCCTTATAAATTTTGTTGTTGTTGAAAACCAGACATTTTGTTTAGGACAGTAGTGTGCAGAAAAGTGTTAATATAGCAGACCTGAGACTTTTTATCCTTAGAAAGGCCTGCTTGCAAGGTCGCCCTTTGGATTCCATATAGAACTTAGGTTTGAGAGGGTTCTCACTATCATAACTGGTAAGAGAGGCCCACTATGCCTAAACTGTTTGTGCAAACAATATAGTTTATGCGAAATACCTGCCTTCCTTCTGGTATGTGCCAGGCAGAAGCTGCCTATGCGAACTGTCCCCAATAAAAATTCTAGGTACTGAGTCTCTAATGAGTTTCTCTGGTTGGCAACATTTCACGAGTGTTGTCACAACTCATTGCTGGGGAAATTAATGTCCTATGTGTCTCCACTGGGAAAAGATCCTTGGAAATATATACCAAGCTCAGGGGGAGAATGTGAGGACGTGTCAGTTGTTTGGCACAGCCTTACAGGCCCTTTCTGCCACACTGTATCTGTCAAATGCCCAGGTGTTGAGCTGGTGCCGAAAAGAATTGCACCCTCCCTCTCAGGTATTTCTAAGGCTCTGGACTACTTTTCCCAGTGGCCATTACATCCAAAGTTATTTCAAGTGGAAAGTTTGCAGAAGAGCAGCGTGGAGGCCTAAATTGAGACTTGCATTCCAATCGCGGCCTGGAATTCATTGAAGCTCTTGGTCACAGTTGTGAGTGGTGTGAGTGCGAGGATCTTTGCTGATTGATGGGATGGAGTCCAAAGCCTGTGAATTGAGCCGGTCGGGCTCTGGCCTCTGAAAGGCTGTCCAGGTCCCAACTACATTTCCCAATGTCCACTGTACCCAGGCAACGTCCAGTTTGCACGCGGGCCCTTTCAGGACCACCAGAGAGGTCCTGCGCCAGTCTTTGCAGAACATTCCATGCCTTGAGGGGGCCCCTGAGTCAGGTAAGTGAGTCTAAGACTCGAAGTGACTCCTACCAGCCAAACCTATGGGGAAGGGGAGTAAGGAACTAACATTTTCCAAGTGGGATTTTGCCAGCAAGTGGACTGGCAGGGAAGGTGGTTGGGAGCTATTTCTGTGTGTCCACACTCGCCAGTGATCCCAGTGAGAACCTTGGTGGTAATGTAGGGAGGAGGCAAGAGGCTCAGCTTCCTTTTCAGCTCTCCACAGTACCTCTTTTTGGCTGTCAGAACCTGATGCAGAATGACAATTTCTTCTTCCACTTTTGTGTTATCTTGGCCCTGAACCTTATCAGCCTCTATCAGACACTCAACAGCCTGATATCAAACTCTACTACAAGGCTACAGTCATCAAAACAGCATGGTACTGGCATAAAAACAGATACACTGATAAATGGAACACAATAGAGAGCCCAGAAATAAATCCATGCCTATATGCTCACATAATATATGACAAAAAAGGTAAGGATATACCATGGGGTAAAGACAGTCTCTTCAATAAACGGTGTTGGGAAAATTAGAGAGATACATGCAAAAAAGAAAGAAAAGAAAATGGACCACTTCCTTACACCATATATAATAATAGACTCAAACTAGATTAAAGACTTAAATGTAAGACCTGAAACCATGAAACTTTTAGAAGAAAACATAGGCAGTAAACAATCCGATATTACTAACAGTAATTTCTTTTCGGATATATCTCCCCAGGCATGAGAAACAAAAGAAAAAGTAAACAAATGGGACTGCATCAAACTAAAAAGTTTTTGTACAGCAAAGGAAACTATCAACAAAACAAAGAGACAACTGACTGATTGGGAGAAGACATTAGCAAATGATACATCTGATAAGAAGTTAATAGCCAAAATATATAAAGAACTCATACAACTCCATAACAACAACAAAAAATCAATCCAATTAAAAAATGGGCAGAAGATCTGAACAGATACTTCTCCAAAGAGGAAATGCAGATGGCTAATAGACATGAAAAGATGCTCAGGGTCACTAATCATCAGAGAAATGCAAATTAAAACCACAATGAGATAACACCTCACACTTGTCAGAATGGCTATCAATAATAAATCAAAAAACAAATGTTGGTGAGGATGTGGAGAAAAGGGAACCCTCATACATTGTTGGTGAGATTGCAAATTTGTGTAGCTGCTATGGAAAATAGTATGGAGGTTTCTCAAAAAATTAAAAATGAAAATACCTTTAGACCCAAAAATTGCACTTCTGGGTATTTATCCAAAGAAAACTAAAACAATAATTTGTAAAATCTATGCACCCCAATATTCATGGCAGCACAATTTGCAATAGCCAAGATATGGAAGCAAGTAAATGTCCATCAACAGAAGACTGGATAAAGAAATTATGGCTCATATATACAATGGAATATTACCCAGTCACTAAAAAAAATGAAATCCTACCATTTGCAACAATACAGACAGAGAAAGATAAATACCATATGATTTCACTTATATGCAGAATCTAAGGAACAAAAAGAACAAACTAATCAAAAACAGACTCACAAATATAGTGGACAATTTGGTGATGGACAGAGGGGAGAGGGCTTGGGGGGCTGGGAGAATGGGGTGAAGGGTTAAAGAAGTACAAATTAGTAATGTTAGATGGTCACAGGGATGGGGAGCACGACAGACAGAATGCAGTTAGCATTAATATGTTGGCTAGGTGGAAGGCTGGGAAGGGGGAGAGCAATTGGGGGATCATTTTATGAACTATATAGATGTCTAACCAATGGACTGTATACTTGAAACTAATTAAAATAAATAAATAATTTTAAGAAAAAAGAAAGATTATATGCCACCAAATTCAATAACCTAGAAGAAATAGACAAGTTCTTAGAAATATACAACCTTCCTAGAATGAATCATGAAGAAGTAGAAAATATAAACAAACTTATCAACAGTAAGGAAATTGAAACAATCATCAAAAACTTCCCCAAAAGTAAAAGTCCAGGACCAGATTGCTTTGCTGGTGAATTCTACCAAACATTCAAAGATGGTTTAATACCCATTCTTCTCAAACTCTTCCAAAAACTTGAAGAAGAGGCAATACTTTCTAACTCTATGAGGCCAACGTGACCTTGATACCAAAATGTGGTAAGGATAACACACACAAAAAAAAAACTGTAGACCAATATCTCTGATGAATACAGCTGCAAGAATCCTAAATAAAATACTAGCAAATTACAGTATTGATCCTTCAATGAAAATAACAATAAAAAAAAACACACACAAAGAAACAAAACACTAGCAAATTGAATACCATGATTACATCGCGATCAAGTCGGGTTCATTCCAGGAGAGCAAGGCTGGTTCAACATATGCAAATCGATCAATGTGATACACCACATGAACAAAACAAAGAATAAGAATTATATGGTCATAGCAATAGATGCAGGAAAAAGCTTTCGACAAGATTCAGCATCCATTTATGACCAAAACCCTTAACAAAATTGTTAATGCCTTAACATAATAATGGCCATATGTGACAAACCCTCAGCCAACATTATACTGAATGGTGAAAAGCTAAAAACCTTTCCTCTAACATCAGGAACAAGAAAAGACTGTCCACTATCACCACTATTATTCAATAGAACATTGAATGTCCTAATGAATGCAATCAGGCAAGAAAAGATATAAAAGTCATCCAAACTGGGAATGAGAAAGTCAAATTGTCACTTTTTACAGATGGCATGATTCTCTATATAGAAAACTCTATAGACTCCACCTAAAATTATTAGAAACAATAAACAAAATACAGTAAAGTTGCAGAATACTAAATTGATGTACAAAATCTATTTCATTCCTATACACTAACAATGAAATTACAGAAAAATATATGAAAAACGGTTACTTTTTAAATTTCAACAAAAAGAATAAAATACCTAATAATAAACTAATTAAAACATGTGAAAGACCTGTATAGTGAAAACTATAAGACATTATTAAAAGAAATTGAAAAAAAGACAAAGATATAGACGGATATTCTGTGTTCATGGATTAGAAGAATCAACATAGTTAAAATGACCTTATTTCTTAAAGCATTATACAGATTTAATGCAATCCCCATCCAAATCTCAATGGCATTTTTTAAAGAAATAGAACCAAAAAATCATCAAATTTACATGGAGCCACAAAGACCCCCAAAAGCCAAATCAATTCTGAAAAAAATAAAAAAGAACATGGCTGGAGGTATGACACTGGTTGACTTCAAGGTATATTACAAAGTGACAGTAATCAATACAGCAAGTTATTGGCAGAAAAACAGACATACAGACCAGTGGAACAGGATTGAGACCCCTAAACAAACCCACATATATATGGGCAAATAATTTTAACAAAGGAGCCAAAAATATACAATGGAGAAAAGAAAGCCTGTTCAATAAATGGTACTAGGAAAACTAGAAAGCCACCTGCAAAAGAATTAAAATACACTATTGTCTATCACCACACACCAAAATTAACTTAAAATGGATTAAGGACCTGAATATAAGACTTGAAACAATAAAATGCATAGAAGAAAACATAGGAACTAGACTCAAGGACCTTGGACTTAAAGAGGATTTTATGAATTTGACCTCAAAAACAAGGCAAGTAAAAGCTAAAATAAATGAATGCACACACAAACATTAAAAAATGGGCAGAGGACCTAAACAGACACTTTTCCCAAGAAGACATACAAATGGCCAACAGAAATATGAAAAGATGCTCATCTTCACTAGGTATTAGGAAAATGCAAATCAAAACCACAATGAGATATAACTTCACACCTGTTAGAATGGCTATCGCCAATAAGACAAAAAATAACAAGTGTCGGAGAGTTTATGAGGAAAAAGGAACCCTTATACACTGCTGGTGGGACAGTAAATTGGTACATCCACTATGGAAAACACTATGGAATTTCCTCAAAAAATTAAGAATTAAAATACCATATGACCCAGCAATCCCTTTTCTGGGTATCTACGCAAAATATTTGAAAATATTTATTTGTAAAGATAAATGCACCCGATGTTCAGAGCAGGATTATTTATGGTAACAAAGGCATGGAAATAACCAAAGTGTCCTTCAATAGATGGTTGGGTAAGATGGGCTAGTACATATATATAATGGAATATTACTCAGCCATAAGAAAAAATGAAATAGTGACATTTGTGACAACATGGAAGGTTCTTGAGAATATCATACTAAATGAAATAAGTCAGACAAAAAGGGTTGACAACCATATGATATCACTCATATGTGGGAAATAAAACTGAAAACAACAAACAAAAAAGAGTCAAACTCGGAGACACAGACAACAGTTTAGTGGTTACCAGAGGGAAAGTAAGTTAAGTGGCAAGAAGATCAATAAAATGAACCAACTTTTAGCAAGACTGACAAGGAAAAGACACAAATTACTAATAAAGAACTGAAACAAGAGATGTCACTATACATTCTGCAGATTCAATAAATAAAACAACTCTACACAAATGAATCTGATTAAATGGACAAATTTAATAATAAAAAACAATTTATGAAACAGATCATTTAAATAGCCCTATATGATAATTAACAAAATTATATTTATAATTTAAAATCTCCCAAAAATGAAATCTCCATGCTCAGATGGTTTCAACTAGGAATTCTATCACGTTGAACTACCTAACAGTTAAAAAAGAATTAACTTCAATTCTACACAATGTATTCCAACAACATAAAGATCCCTTATGAAATCAGTATAAAATTTGATACCAAAAGCAATTATTCATTCTATGAAGCCAGCATTAACTTGATACCAAGACCAGTCTAAAAGAGGAAAACTATAGACTATATTCCTCATGAATATAGCTGCAAAACTCCTTAGAAAATACTAACAAATATAATTTAGAAGCATCTAAGGAATTATATTCACCATGCCAAGTGGAGTTTATTCTAAACATGCAATGCTGGTTCAATGTTTGAAAAATCAATTGATATAACTACCATATCAATAGACTAAGGGAAAAAATGTCCCTTTATCATAATGATGTAGAAAATGTACTTGACAAAATGTATAACCCATTTATACTGATTTTTAGAATCCTCAGACACTAAGACTAAATGGGGAACTTCCTTTACTTGGTAAAGAGTTATCTACAACAGGTGTACAGTTATCTAATATAATAAATGACTGAATGCTCTACCTCCAGGGTTGCATGTCCACTCTCATCACTGCTACTTAACATAATACTGGAAGCTCCAGCCATAGCAATAATGCAGGATAGGGATTTGAATGCATACAAATCAGAAAGAAGC